GCCTATGTGCATTACTATTTAACTTCAGTTTTGGTAGATATTTAAGCTCCTCAAGACACTGGGTGCTTTTAAATACCGCTGATGTTGAGGAAATATCATGAAAATATAAATAAAAAATACTTTTTTTTCCTGTAATTACAGGAGCTCTGAATATATGAACTCCTGTACTCTCTGACACCTTATCAGCTACATGAACACATACAGACATAGGACACACTTCAATTTGAACACAAATGGACCTTTAGCCCATCTGTTTTATCCACGGTGCTCACTACTGATTTTTTTTCTAACTTTAAGTAATCATAGTCTGGTAATCTTAATGATGGTTAAGGCAGGGAAATCTTTCCATTAACTTCTGCAGACCAATAACTGAGCCACAGATTTTATGAGAAGAACACGATGCTCAGTTCTGTAGCAGATAATGTTATGCACATATATTGAAACAAGATGGTCTTTAATTTGACCAAGTCTAAAAATAAGCCTTTAATACCTGCTAATTTAAATTCACACTTGGGAGCAAATATTACCATTCCTCTGTGGGACTACCAGGGTCAGGAAACAGAGATCCATTTTCTCTTAAAAAGTTCCTGAACAGAGTCTGACCTCTGCTGCTCTCTCTGTGAGGAGAAAGCTGTTCCATGTACTACAAAAATCCTTGCTTTTAACACATGAGCAGATTTGATGCCAGAGTTTGAGCTCCTCCCACAACAGGAGAAATTTCTGCCTTCTTCCAGACCTGCAGTTGGCCAGGGAGAAACAGGACCATTCACTGTATGATTATTAGGCCTGTATGGATATTTACCAGCATCAGAGTGATTTCTTGGTGTTTTGAGTTTCTTTTTTTTATCAGGAAATGGAATACTGACTAGGACTGAGCATAATTCTACCTAATGGGAAACATCTTATTTTTATCAATTTTTTCTCCATCACAGGCTCTGGCAGTTACATGAAGAATTTGTTTTTGTATATGAAAGACTGACTTTTCTTAGATTTAGCCTTCTCCTCTACACAAGACATTATCCATCCTGCTTCTCCCATGTACAGATAATGTGCATTTATATCCTGGAATATTCAGGATGGAAGGAACATTCCTTTGAAGGAACCCTATATAACTTTAACAAGTCAGCACCTCATTCTCTAACACCCATTTATTGGTACTGTATTTAGTAAGTAAGCATGCAAAGCACGATGAGCTCTATTTTGCTTGTCATGCCATTCTGATTATGTGTTGAAATATCTCCTGAAAGTTCTGAACCTCAAAGTTGTTAAGAACAATTTTCATTTATACTACTAAGTCTACTGAAGATCAAGGAACTTTCACATTTAAATGAATGCATATAATAGTTAAAGATCAAATTATGTCTGATAATTTTGATTATTTGGGGGAGAATTCAAAAATTAAAATGCAAAGAAAAGAAAGTGTTATGTAAATCATTTGGTAGAGTATCTGTTGTGGTTTAAGTCGGAAGGTGGCTGAGCACTACACAGTTGTTCACTCATTTCCCCCTTCCCAGTGTGATGGGGGAGAGAATTGAAAAATGCCAAGGGGAACTAGTGGGTTGAGAAAAAATTATTCAGTAACAGAGAGGAAAGAAAAAGGATAATAATTACGACAAATATATATACATATAAAAATATGGAACAAGTGATGCAGAAGTAATTGAACAACACCGTCTCCATGATGCCTAGCTAGCCTCTGAGCAGCAGAAGAGAGCCAGATGCACTCCTACCTCTTTCAGAACTCCTTCCACTTGATGTCATATGGTATGGGATATCCCTTTGGCCAGTTTGAGCCAGCTGTCCTAATTCTGTTCCCTCCCTGCTGCTTGGGCCCTTTGCTGAGAATGGCCTTGGCTCTGTGCAACACTGCTTAGCAGCATCTACAAACTTCAGTGTGTTATCAGAGTTGTTTTTCTCCTAGAACTAAAACATAGCTTCATACCAGCCTCTCTGAAGAAAATAATTTGATCCCCTCTGAAACTAAGTATCATAGAAAATATTATTTCTATAATGAAGTCAATCTGACAGGGAAATGAAGAATTGATATTTGATTTTTGAGAGAACCTTACAGCTGTATAGTGAGCACAAGCACATGCTGAGGTAATTTACACAGTTGCAGCAAGTTGTTTAGTCAGGTGCAGCAGGGACCCCTGCTAGACCTTGTATTACAGGCATTTAACATTTTCATTAATAATCTGGAAGAGAGGGCTTACAGCATGTTAATTACATGAGTAGATAGTTCTAAATTGAGAGAAGTCACAAAACATTAACGACGACTGAGATCTAATATAACAGGATTTAAAATGAGAGAAAAATAAGAAAGAAAAAAAGCAATTCAAGCTTAGTCAGAGATTCAAGTGCAATCAGAGATGTCTTAATATCTGACCCATACATTAAGAATGTAAGTGAGAAACAAAGCAGTAACACTGAAGGAGTAAAACGTGAACTGAATATTGGTTAGCATATGATGTAGAAGCTGCAAAGACTGCTTTGATTCTGGGCTGCCTGTGAAAAAGTGTAACTTGGAAAGCTTACAAAAACTTTAAGGAGCTGAAGGATGGAAGGATTTTCACACGTGCCTTTATGAAGAGTACAGCATCCAGTCAAGATCAGGTAAGTGGTAATTGCGATGCGCTTATTTGAGGAATATGAACACCAGTGGAGCACAAAAGCTAGAAATCTGAATTTTGTAGAAAGCCTTTAGTAAGGAAAACAGCTAGCATGACCTAGATACTTAAAACAACTGTCCGGTCTACCACGAGGCAGATACTATAAGAAATTTCTGTCAGGTACAAGGACAATGCAGTACAGCTTTTCCAACTCCTAAATTCTCTATGATTTCATGTACCAGTTAAGACCATAACTTCTACTTAACATGATTTGAGATTATTCCTAAGTCTCATTAGAGTGAGTAAGATATAATACTACAGTGAAATTTAATCTCATTTTAATATGAAATCAATGCACCATTCTGCTCAGAGTTTTCCTGCTTTGACTGCAAGACTGGAGTTATACAGGTGCTTCCACAACCCACTCCAGCATTAAGAGATGTTTTCTGTTTGTTTTTAAACCCAGAAAAAATAATTCACCTCCACACTAATCCTAGTACTTTACATCTCCTTCACTTTTTTTTGATTGTGTCAGTTCTCTGTTATACTACATTATCTCTCACTAATACCCTTACCTCCATGTTGCAGGTACCTTAAATGACATAAAAGCAGAAATTGGGTAAAATCCTAGCTATAGAGGAGCCCAGTTTTCCCTTTTAAATGATTGAAAGGCAAATCCCAGCACCTTACTTCTGCTGTTGGCTCAAAGACAGACTCTTTGTCATATGTTACTCTCTACGCTCAGGGCTTTTCCCCACTTTCTGTGCTCAAGAAGTAGAACACTGGTTTGATAATATGCAAGATGAAAGACTGGTAAATGTGGTCTGAGGTACAGAGTAGTCAGTTTTAAATCCAGGAAAGCAAAAAGCTGTGTGAAAATTTAAGAGCAAAGCATCATTTCTATGTGATCCTGAAAGAAGTAAATGTTAAATGTTTCCCTAAATCTTCGTCAGAAGATACCATTGACTTCAGTGGAATCCTTTGGTAACTACAGATGTAGTCCAAAAGCCATATTTTCTTTGTTGAGCTGACTTCTATAAATAAATGTAAACACTAAATCATAGATTATGAGAATAGTTATATTTCTTATATCTTCTTGGGTATCTCTGGGAATACTGCCCATAAGTGCTGAAATTGTTCCTCACTGTTCCTTGTTCTGTTAACCGCTGTTCCAGGACTGAGACAAGTACAAGTCCCTTTTGAGTACTATTCGTATAACCAGAAGAGCTAAAAAGAAAGGTGAAGAAAATGTTCCACTAATCCCCTGTACTACTATGCTGTGGGTATAGGTTTTTATTGGACAGCCTGAACCAAATGTGACCTAGAACATGTGAAAGGGATACAACATGGGCACAGTGATGTGTCAAAGCTACAGGGATAACTGTATACATTTAAACATCTTAGCACACATTCCTGAGGTAGTAAGGCCAGGTCAGAGATCTAGAAGGTATTTATGGTGTGGCATTAGTTCTTCTGTTATGAGTGCTCTTGAGCATCTTTTCATCTTTATTTCTTCATTTCCTTCCTCTTTCCTTTTAATTAAATCCCATTAGAGAAGGGTTGCCCTTTGATTATATCCTCAACCACAGCTGAATCAGCCTACTTCACTTGTTAAGGTGGGAAGTGCCAAATTAGGATGCAAATCTTTCATTACATTTATTTACAACAGAGGTAATATCCCTAGTTAAGCTTGAGAGATAAGACCAGAGTCAGTAGACGTACACAAATCTCTTATAGAAGAATCATGTCTAGTCTTTCAAACTGTATTATCTAACAGAAAGGTCTTTTTGCATCTTTTCAAAGAAGAAATGAAGGGACAGATGCTTCTCCAAAGCATTCAAGCAGAGAAGTGGAGATATCCTCACAACTACCTTCACCCTGGTGGAGTTTGTGCACCTCATGAGATTAGACAGCTTGCTCATGTACACCTACATACCAGAATTAGGGAAATGGTTCTTTTTGACAATGAATTGGCTGCTATGGGGATTCTGAGTGTTGATGAGAATATGGCTGGCTAGCTGAGGACATCATTTAAGCTTCCTAGTAATGATCTCATTTGAAACAAGTGCCATACTACTAATTATCACTTGGTTCTGATTGATTCATCACCTGCTTTGGTGCTCCCATTTCATAAATGGGAACATAAACTGCTTAGTTTAAGAAATGGAATAATATGCAGAGCTTATTTAAAAGAGAACTGACTCTGACTATTGTGTCAATTACTGTCAGACTGATTTTCTTTCCTGTATGTGTGCACACACGTATATGACTGTGAACAGTTAATTACTGTATGACTAAATATCGAATACTTATAAAATATTTTAATAAAGACAATATTATAATCTGGTTTACATTTACACATCACAATTGAGAAATAATAATTTTCCTTACCTATTTCAGTCATGGATATCCCCGGAGCTAACTGCCCATTGTTGAAAGAGCTATAGGTAAACAAGTTTGGTACAGAGGTGAGGTCATAGATAGGTTCCTGCTTTATCTGTTTGATTCCAGTCATGTCTAACCCAGACTGATCTGGAGAAGGCTGGGCAGAATCCACGTTGTAATAACCCTCAGACTTTGGCAGGTCGATGACGTGCCCATTTGAGTAAGTGCTGCCCGTTTCGTTATTCAGATTGCCCAAGCCGTTGCTGATGCTGTTGCTGTAAACCCTGGCAAGGGCTTCTGCCTCACCGCTCTGCTGCTGCCGCTGTTCCTGCAATCGCTGCTGGTGCTTCTGCACTTCAGCATACAGGCTATCCCTCTGCTTTTTGGACATTCTTCCAAATTTCACAGCTGAAAAGCAAAGCACAGTGCAAGTCATTGTCATGTTTCTTTTCTTCTCAATTCCCCTCAACACCACTGTTCCCCTGATATCCACTTTTAGCATCGCTTTTGCTGTGGAAACTTATCTTTTTCTTTTGAAAGAGAGAGGATGCAGAACTTCACGCCATATTCATCTCACAAAGGAAAAACTAACATCTGCTTGGATTTACAAGCTGACAGTGACTCTTACTTGACAGGAGGGCCTCAGTCAGGCAACTCACTTTCTACTGTGAATGTTAAAAAGTCGATGCATCCTTTTCTTATCGCTCTGTTCACTGAACAACAACCTAGAGCTGTATGAAAAACACAGTCTGTAGATTCATAGTCCTTGCATTTTACCAACTTTCCACAAACCTTTAAACTGTGCACTAACAGGATTAGTACTCTGGATGAAAACAAGCCCTACAGCCCTATTATCACATTCTTTCAATGGGGTGTTATCTTCACACTTTAAAAAAAATCTTGCAGGTTAGATTTAGAACCTAGAGGAAAATAGCAGACTGGAAGGTAAACAGCACGAATGAATGTCATCTTTTTCACAGAGAAAAGTCTCAGGGATTTACACAATCAATTTACATAATCTCCATGCACAAAATCCATGCATTCCTTCTAATGAGAAAGGCAGGAAAACATCAGAGTGCAAACCACTGTCCCCAGGAATAGGGCTCACTACACTGAGATTGAAATTTTCAAAAGCAACAGTCTGATTGCTGTGGAACTACAAGGAGTAAATCCATAGCCTACATGCACAGTGGTCACAGATGATTATCTGTTCTTTTTTTTCTCTTTCTCTTTAAATTCTGGGTTTCTACTGGCCTAGATCTTGAGATCTCGGAGAAGAGGTAGCTATTAATCATGTTTTAAGACAAATGAGGTCTGTCAATTAGGATACATTCAGCAGAATTTATCAGAGAACAGATAGGAGGACATTTCTCTGGAAATACTTATTTTATGTATTATGAGGACTATTTTCCAATGCTATTTCCCATCCACTTGTAATAAAGATCAGTTCAGAATCATCCCACTTATTAATGGTTTGTTTCCCATTTTGGCATTTCAGTTATAGTTCTCCAGAAGATTCTGAGCCTACAAATGCTCATTATATATATATATACATACATACATACATACATACATATATATATATATATATATATATATATATATATTTAGAACAAAAAATACCCAAACAATAACAACAAAACACAGAAAAGGAAAAGAACTCTATTAGAAGGAAATGGCATAAAAATTGAGGGGATGGTAGCCTTTCAATTTATTTGTATTTCTTTACTTTGTGATTTGTTTTTCTTATTACCAGCTTCAGCTTACTTGCAGCCCTCCACAAAGTCTGTGAGTACTTTGCATATACACTGGTTGCTCTGCAGCCAGTCCACAGTGCACTGCACACTGTTATGGACAATATATAATGACTGGATTTTGAGAAATACAGCTGCATGTTTTCTTCAAATGCAGGGTCTCAGTAATAAAAACAAACACCCACAGTTTACTTTCATTATATATTCATTAATTGGATTCTCCAGCTGCTGTCAATTAGCATCCTGCCTCTGCATGATAAAAATGAATCTGTTACATGGCTGAGAGGTAAAATTCACATTCAATTTTTCTGTTAAAAAAAAACCCATGCAGGCTATTTTAAACTTGCAAGAGCTCTCCATATCATTAAGTATAAACACACTCACATCAACAATCAGAGAAGAAAGTGATGTTGACAGAAGAATCCCTCTTTGTACACAGCAGTTCCTGCATTATAGGTTGTGAAGACAATGCTGTGATGTCTCAAATACTTGCAACGTATTACTTTTATTGGGAAAGTACATGCTGTTAAATTACTGAAATTTTACTATAGTGCTTTCTGGGAAGAAGCAACAGCTAAGGTGTTGAAGTATACTTCATACTAGGCCCAAAAGAACTCCATGAATTAAAGGTGAGACAGCAGGGCCCCTCTCAGTCTGCTGAGACAGGTGAGCAAATTGTTTCAGTGATACATGAAACACAGTGAGGTAGGAAAAGAACTATTATAAACGTAAAGCAAGCTTATAAACTCTGAACTATCTTATAAAATAGGTGTTTAAGTAACTTCATCAGTGCTTGTTAATTCCAAAGAACAAGTTTTATGAACAAATGCTGCCAGGTAATCAAAGCTAATATAGCCTTCCTGAAGCAAATGTAACCTGCCTTCAAAGACAGAACATTCTCTTCTCACACTCCCCAACCATTTCAAATGTGACTGTGAGCTGGACAGCCATTGCATTAGCAATGAAATGTTTCTCCTGTGATCCAGGCATGGAAAGGAGGTAATGCACCAGTGAAATGCTTTTTTTCACAAGGCAAAATACTTAGTCAAGTGTTTTGAATAAAATAAACAGGTGAAAAACCTTAACATTATCGAGGTGTACCTTTCTTTTTAAACTGGCTATTCACTCTCACAGATCTTCAGAGATCTTGAGGAAAGGTTTGCTTCCTCACGTCAGTATTTAATGTTGCTAATATAAAATGTTTTCTGAACTGGAATATAAATCCTCCTCTTTCGAGATTACTTTTGTGATTTTGATCAGACCAATGCACTTCCTTTCCAACTCTTTCACTTCCAATCTAACATTGCTTTCCATTTTGCTATCTTCCCACTCTCTTCATGAAAATAGCCTCCACTGTTAACTGAAGATCTGTGTCTCACAGTGTGTACATTACAAAGCAAGGAGCTTCTCCTCTCTTTTTCTAGAGATCTACAGGGAGTTTAAGTAAGGCAGCAGAGAAGAAGAGTTTCAAAGGATTTAGGCATGAAGTAGGAATCTGACTCCTTACCATCTCTAGACATTCCCAGGGCAAGACATTTCTGCAGTCGGCAGTGTTGGCAACGATTTCTGTTGGTTCTGTCAATTAAACAGTTTCTCTGCCTTGGGCAGGAGTAGGAGGCATTGTTCTGCTGACTCCTCCGAAAGAATCCCTAGGGGCAACGAGGAAGAGAGACAGAGTATTACCATGTGAGCATATGTGCACGCACGCACGCACACACACATACACACAGAGACACAGCCACGCAAGCTCTCATGTAGCATAATGTTATTTTTGCTAGGGCTTTGCAGATGCACTAGCCTTCTACAGTGAAACTAAAGAGCATTTACTCCCCATAAGGAGGATTTGTAATTGTTCAGTAAAGAATATAATACTACTTTGTTAAAGGACAAACAGTATTGAGTTACAGAATGTATTACTATTGTGTAATAACTACCATGGATCATCTAATTCTTGCCCCTCACAGATGAAAAGCTTGTCAGCATCGGTAAACAGATAACGTTAAAGTACTTATTCTGACTATTTTCCATCTTTATTGAAAGAAACTTCTAACATCCGGCACTGGCTATACATAGCATTAGAAGCTGAAGTCTGCTGTTTAATCTGACAAATGTTGATCTGATCTGGAAAGACCATACACTTTGGGAGTGAAAAGTAATTCAAATTCAAACATTACAAAAACACTAGGATTTAATGGCTGTATCAGGTAAATCTGACACACAAAGGAGAAAGCAACACCATTAGACACTACCATGAGAAAGTAAAGATATTTTCCATATCAATGGAATATAACATTAACCATTTAATCTATTAAAAACAGTTAGATACTTTATATCCTAGAGGGTTTTTCTGCCCTGTTGCTGGCCTATTTGGCTAAATATCAGAGGGTGAGAACTCATTCTTAGTTACTTATGACTTTTAAATGCTACAAACAGCACTGAGAGGTACTGTTACTGTAGAAATGACATGAAGTGGCAGAAATGAATAGAAAAATGAAACCAGGGAGAAAGCGTTTTATAATACTGTTTTCTTTCCTGTAAAATAAGGCACAGGAAGATCAGTGAGTTGAGAGAGAGGGAGAGAAAGAGAAACAAAGAAAAGAAGTTAATTGGCGAACTTAGCAGCTTTAGAAGAAAGTGATTGCATGGCTGTGTGGTGGGAGAGATGAAGGATGGCACAGCCCTGCAAGAAGCTATAAAGGGAAAGCATACAGTAGTCACTGGGAGAAGTGATACCAAAGTGCTTGTGCCTTTCTGTGTTCATCTGTAAACAGCAATCAGTGGAGTCAGAAAGGAAGATATGACTGCACTCATCAGGCAAAACCATTGTTATCTTCGTTCAGGCTGACAGAATATACTAATAAGGGATTGGATTTACAACTCTTGTGGGTTTTGGGGGAAAAGGAGGGGGAAAACAACAGGGTGATGTTGTCACAGGACTCGATTTTCATGCTACAGGTAGCGTCTGTAATCCCACTTCAGTCCCTGAGAACCAAATTAGGATGGCATGAGATGTCAGTAACAGTGGGCAATAGGCATGATGTTCCACTGAGGAGACAGCAACATAGTTCTTGAGATTGATGAATCCAGAGAAGCTTACTTTGTCTGGCCCATGCTGGCTTTATCAGTGATTACGCTATACAGCAACTATTAAATTAAGGTTTATGATTTGCATGGATATCCTTAGGGAAGCTCTCAGGAAAAGTTCATTGTGGACTTACCTGATCCTAGTTGACCAAATCTTCTTTTAGCTGTGGAGATTAGCTTAATGTTATTGCTAGATGGATGACAACTGCAAATATTTTTATCTACTTGTTGAATCTTACAGCCAATTTTGTTTTTGACTTGAGGAAAATTTTCTGCTTTAGATTTTAGCAGTTCTTATGTGGTATGGATTTGAGAGAAGAAATGAATTAAGTTATGTTAAAATAACCACACAACCATCTAGCATCAACTGTGTCTTATCACGTAGTACTGTTTTTATTATGGCTGATCTCACAAGAATTTATTTGTGTATTTTTCTCACTAAGTTCAAGCTCTTCCTACAAGAATTTGTTTTTTCCCATCACTGCCCCTCTTAGGGAAAAATCAAGGGTTACATAATGAAGTTAATCTACAGCAGGTACTTTATTTCTCTAAAGAGACTTTTGTGCTCTGTTCTTTCAGCAAAGATCTAAATGCTTTCTTACAGAGAAACCTTTCATTTCATGTTAAGAGATCTTTACATAACATTAGTTATATTTACTGGGAATAATACCTTTTTAGGGAAGCAGGACACAATTCATTACTGAGGAGTTAAAGGACATAAAGACAAGTTTCCCAGTGTTCCCAACACTGACAACAGTCCTTCTGCATCTTTATCCATCCATCACTGACAGTCTGAGAAGGAAATGGCCTCTCAAACTGTCCTCTAGATTCTTGCCATGCTGTGGATAACAAGAACCCCCTCATCAAAAGAAGGAGTCACAGAAACAACGGGATGGAGACCTGTCTTTGAGTTTCACTGTTTCCCTGGTGACTGATGGCAGAGTCACCATTTTCTTTAGTGGACCCAGCACACTGCTCAGTCTATGCAGGTGTGCAGCATGAAAAAGCTGTAGTGTTTATGATGTCCCTTAAGTGCTTATGATATGCATTTGCAGTGGCAGAACTAATGCAGAGACATGGGGTGAAAGGATTTCCTGTCCCTTGGAGTCTGTAGTATTGCCAGTGGCAGTGCAATTCACCAACGCCATTTCCTGAAATGCTGAGGCCCTCTGGTGCCTGGCTTAATGTGCGCGGTCTTGTGGAAGCCCTTCTGGCCTCCTTCCTCTTAATTAGTTCAGATTTCTAATGCGCTCAGACAAAAGGAGCTAGAAATGACCAGTTATTAGTACATAGGCTGAACAAATATTTATTTAACTGCTGGGCAAAGAGGAGTAGTGTTGCCCTGCCTGAGACAGTGCTTAACTGAAGAAAGAGCTCTTGCAGAAGGAGATGCCCTCCATTGGACCTGATGTGAAGGCTGACATCTTTTTTCAAGCTGCAAGAGGCTTGCAAAACAGCATTAGACTAATTGATGTGATACTGCAAAACTGGCACAAACCCATAGATTTAAAACTGCTTTAAGTGGAAGAAAAGCTCTTTATCTCACTAAGTGGTCCCCCCATAGAGCTAAGGATATTGTCTTGAGGCACACACAAGGGCTAGCATTAAGCCTGATCACATCTACAGGAGACCATATCCCTCAGTGCTTTGTGGAGGCTGGATGCAGAGACAAGATGTTCCTTTTCTGCTCAAAATGTTTTTCTCCTGTCACTTTTGTGCCAACGTTAAATTATTAGTACAATCCCATTTCATGTAATTGTTGTAAGAAGTCCAGTCCAGTATCACAATAAGACAGTGTCACAGGGTAAGCTTTTCATTTAAGATCAATAAAATTTCTGAAAGTAATCAAATCTTTGAGAATATATTGCTTTTTAGCACACTGACATTAAATGCATTGTTTTGTGAATGAGTTTATGGATGAGCTTATTAATGTTGATAGATTTTTTAGTTGTTCTGAAATATCATAAAGCATTAAGCAGGTAGAGACTTTCCATTTCACTCTACAATTATCTGTTTTTATGTAGAAGAAACTACAGATGCTGCCCTTCATCTTTACAACTTCATTGTTACAGTCAAAGCTGGAATACCAACATGTGTAGTGTAAAATTCTGGTGTTCCATAAGCAATGGTATAATCCCTTAAATAACAAAAAGCACAGAGTCTTTCTAAAATTGTAAATGAAAACCTTTCTTGTGTTTGCTTGATGTCTGATTAGAGTTATTTAAGCCAATGTCTGGCATAATATGCTAATACACATATATTTTGTCTAGCCTCCTGTTCCAAGCAATTCCACTATGCTGAGCCTATAAGAAGAAAGCAAAGGATCCTTTTACACTACCCATAATGTCATCATGTAAGGTATTTTTTTTTTTCTTTTGGAGATCACAATTTGGCCTGCAGAGAATACAAAGGGTATAAAATAGGACTAAACTGACACCTGTAAGCTTTTAAGATGTTGAACTGAGATATCACACCAACTTCTAATGCTGCACAGGCTGTATAGGAAACAGGGTAAAAAATCCAGTTCTCAAGCTTATTTAACATGTGTGACTTCAAGTTGCCTGCCTTTTTATCAGCACTTATACTGCATCAGATGTGATTAATTCATGTTTCAAAAGAGGAAGTAACTCTAAAGGCTATTTGATGAAAAGAAGAGCAACCAGTAAAATTAGGCATGAAATGCATGTATATAAGCAGCAGACTTTATGGCCTTTGGCGTTACTTGCTTGAAAGAGTGTAAGAGTGTATTATTACGTACGCAGATGCCTGAGGCTAATGCAGATGCTGATGACTATGCTGTATTAAAATCCCATACCTTGCAGCCTTCACATGTGATGACTCCATAATGTATTCCAGAGGACTTATCACCACAAATTTTGCATGGTATCACTTCAATTTGTGCTGAAAAATAAGACAAACATTTTGAGTATATAATTCCATTTCATTTCTTTCTTTCTTCACACACAATCTCTTCCCCCTCCACCGAAAATATAAAACTGCTTTTTATTGTACTGCGTGTTTCTGAATGCTTTGATTTGGCAGATTTTAATTGCTTCACATTATGTATGTACTATTCCCTCTTCAACAGTTCAAGCTATCTCATGATTAGATAGTTTTTACTCATACTCTTCTCTTTTGTTTTTACTTGTTAATTTCATTATCATTATTGCTAATGACAATCATTAGAGATTCTAAATAATTATCTGGATTTTTCTTGCTTGTGCTTTTACAATATTCATGACTGTACTCTTCATTTTGCTGAGGTGGTTTTATGTGGAATGTTTTGCATTTTTCAGACCTGTGGACATGATGAAGTTTTCATATCCTTCAAATTATGTGTTAAAAACATACAAAGATAACAGTCTCACTGGCAGAGACGAACTTGTAAATGACCACTTAATCTTTCATCTAGTTCAAACTATTTGCTTGAGAATCAGGGCAGTGGTAGGTAAGACCCACATTCTGAGATTAAGTACACAGTGGCTGTGTGATGGGAGAGACAGGTGCTATCTGAAAATGTTGGAGTATGAATGTGTTTCAGATCCCTTTATAAACCAAATAATTAGGAATTTGCTATTTTCTGTATATATTTTCTATTACTAACATAGCTATTTTCTTCCCTCAGTTACTTAGAATCCTGTGAGTTTCTGTTGTCTAAAGTGTAAGAGCACACACCCCTGAATGTATGGTGGGACTTTGCCTGATTCTAGTAAGAAGCACTGAGGAAAAAAAAAAATATCTATTTTCTTTCCAGTAATTTGTTTTCCTCTGTTAGATTTCATTGTTCTCCTCAATTCTTTCACGACTTGGAGCTATTATGCTTGCATGCTTGCATGCACAAGCAACTGGTAGATGTTGCTTGTGGTTTAACCCGAGTAAGCAGCCAGACATCACAGAGCTTCTTGCTCACTAGTCGGATAAGGGAGAGAATAAAAAGAAGGAAAGCGAGAAAACTCATGGGTTGTGATAAAGACAGCTTAATAAGTAAAGCAAAATCTGCTTGTGCAAGCAAAGAAAAATAATTCATTCACTACCTCCCACTGGCAGGCAGATGTTATCTACTTCCAGAAAGCATTTCTTCATTATACGTAACGGTTACTTGGGAATGCAAACAACAAAACTCCTAACATCCCCCCCTACTACATCTTTTCCCCCAGCATTTATTACTAAGTACATTGTTATATGTATGGCATGGATCCTTTGCTCAGTTGGAGTCAGCTGTAATGGTCATGTTCCCTCCCGCTTTCATGCACACACCCATCTATATTAGCTGGTGGGGCATCACGAGAAGTAGAGAAGTCTTTTGCTCAGTGCAAGCAGGCTTCAGCTACAACAAAACATTGGTGTGTTATCAACATTATTTTCATCACTAATCCAAAACATGCATCATATCAGTTACTATGAAGAAAATTGACTCAATCCCAGCTAAAACCAAGACAGTGTCTTCCACATTCAGGATTGGAGTATCCACAGTTCACTGCAACAATTAGTCACTCATCAAATACTTGGGCAGTCCAGCTGAGATCTTGCATGGTAGGGAGGATTATTATGGGGATAGTCTTGTCCTCTTGAGGACAAGAGTTGCTAACCCTTAGTACTTTGGTTGAGTATGTTCAACTCCAAAATGGATTGATAGTCAGGGAAACAAGATAGTAATTCAGATATTGATCCTAAAACAAGCATCCTGTTTCAAATCTGTTGGCACACAAAAAGTCTACAACTGCTGGAGTAAACTTATTTATAAATGACAGCACTAAATAAGATATGCTAAGCATAGTTGTGTTGTGGATGTTATAACAGTACAATCTGGATTTTGCCCATACTATTTATTACTCGTTTCAGGAGACCCAGTTTTCTAGGAGTTCCTTCCTATCACCTCAAAGTTAAACAATCAAATCTCAGAACAATCCTACAGAGTCATCACATGTCACACTGCATCCCCCACTCCATGTAAATTACTTAGAGTAGGTAAACACTAAAGGTGAACATTAATAGGCCTCTTCTATATAAGTCAGTAAGTATTCCCCTGTTACACCATACCCCAAAGGAAGGAGGAATGAGGGTCGTTTATGGATGATTTAAGAAACTTCAATTTCCCACTGCCAGCTCACTTTTCTGAGTTGCTCCCTCTGATCAAGCACATTTCTAGGAAAAGTAAATATTAGCTTATACAAACAAACCAGTTTTTTCAACTGCCCAGAAGTCAGGATGGATAAGATGAATTTTACTGTAGGAAAATACAATTTGTTGTTATTGTATTTTGGGTGGAGATAACCAGGCAGAAATCTTGGCTGCCCTTGAGCTTAAGAAAGTGCATATTTAGAAATGCAATATTCTGTGTCATCCACAGTTTTTGGATTAGTGTCTGTATCCTGTTTTGTTTTTGTAGACCAAGAGAGGTAGATTTACTTCTTTCTTAAGAAGCTAATGTGCACAAACCATCAAGCGTAACACATAAGAACAAAGGCATAGAACATAGCCTCAGCTTCTTGGTAATTTTGCCAAGCTGATCTCATTTAAAATCTTCTGTTCCTTATCCCCACTGCAGTAATTAAAACATTTCAACATGCACCTCCAGGTACTGCTTTTTCAGAGGACAGTTGAAGCCACTGCTCACAGGTCTCTGCTTGAGACTCATATGGAGGTTGCATGGCTAGGCTCTGGGATCTGGCACTGCTGAAAAGTTCAAAGACATATGTCAATGTCAGAAGCAGAGACTACTGTGACAAGATGAGGAGATCTTCGGGAAAAGTAATGACAAGGGAAGAAAAAAATAAAAACAGTTTGAAGGTACTTTTAATGTGACTTGCATATACTGTTTGTAAGTGATAGGAACAGAGACAGAAGTATTGATCCTGTGACACACATTGCATTTAGCAGAGTGCTCGTTACTGCGAGCAATCAATATTTCCATACGTGACTTGCAATTATAAGCACTGCACTAGAGATGAATATTTCTAGATCAGGTCACCAAATGTGATGGCTCTGGATTTCAGTTAATATGAAATAAATACTCCAGGCTTGCGATTCATCAATTAATTCAAACTCTTATTCAAAATTAACCATTCTATAAATTAGTAAGTACAGGATCTCTAGAAAATTGCTACGAGGGCTCCATAGAAAGCTCACAGAAAATGCATTATCTTCAGTGCAGAGAAAGCACTTGAGGAAGTTTGGAAAAGTAGACTGCTGTTGCCTGCTAGGCATTTCTTTTTGTTCGTAAGACAGCAGAACACTTTAAGGGTTCGTAACAGAAAACTAGAGTGATGAGTTGTACAGGCCGAATGAAAAAGAAGACACTGTATTCCCCAAAACATCTTGAATTACTGTAATTAACACCCACTGTACCGGGTTTCTTTTGCAGATTTAATGATTGTCAGGGACTACTACACATTTTCACATTGTATGTTTGTTCAGACAACTATAATTTTCCTTTGTTTTTCTTCTTTTCTTCTCCTCTCAGGCCAGCAGTTTGGGGAACTGCATATCGTTCTCATACCTATATGCTATAAGGTAAATAGCTCACTTCTGAATTCCTCATAAGTATAAAATACATCGATTCAGTACTGACTCCTGAACAGTGAAGTAAAAAGGGAACTAACTAGTAGTGAAGTTGCCATAATGATTACTTTCAGCAGCATATGGAAACAACTTATTTTCTTCCAAAAATGAGGAAGCATAACAGCAGAACTACTTATCTGTGCTATTAAAGGCTTTCCACTTGCCTTCTTACCCTCTACTTTAATACTTTGTGTAAGAATAACAGCTTTGCCTTTTTCAAGCAATAACAAGGGTTCTCAACTGTCCATTTGTTCAATTTTTCAGCAAGCACATTCAGTTTTCATCCTGTCTTGAGATGTATCACTCAATAAAAGTCTGCAAAACCACCATCACCCAAATCATTAATAATGTTTGGATACATGCTACATCGTGATTGCTTCTTATCACCAATTCTGACTTTGCTCATCAGTACCACAGGATCATCCTTCCTCTCTGTGGTATTCATCTCTTTATACTTTATACATAGGGTTAAAGTTCAATGAGTCTGGGAACTTCCTGTAAGTTTATATGATATCCTACAAATTGAAAGCCACAGTGAAAATTATTTAATTCTACATGACAAGTATTAATAATCTAAACACGCTGTGTTTACCACCTGGAACATAATTCGTTCTCACAGGACAACAGGAAGAGCAGAATTCTATTAAGGAAGTAAATACAAAATCTTCTCATACATTTAAAATGAACCCATTTAAAATGAAATATGAAACATTTGCTATTCTGTCATATGCTGCCCCAAGAGAAAAAGGATTAAAGATTTTTTTCTTCATTATGAGAAAAAATTTACTCACTAACACAAAATTCATTTTTTTTAAGAGTAGGGCAATAACCAAGTTTGAAGAACTGTTATTTTGGTGAAATTGGGAATAAATCAAGAAGTTATATAATTATTTGCTGAATTCCTCCTGAAACAAAATAAAAACTCAACAGGGCAACTAATAGGTCTACAGTATAATTATGTGGACCTGTGTTTACATGTATAGGTGGTCTGACAAGAAAAAAACAAAGCTTGGATCTCAGTTAAATATCTGAGGAACTTCATTCAGCAGAAACAGGATTATAATCTCTCAGACTTTTAGCTTTCGTATCAAGGAATAATTAAAAAAAAAAAAAAAAAAACAACAACAAAAAAAAGCAAGAACCTGGGCTTTAATATTTAGTTCCTGATCAAAAGAGCATGCTAACATGTATTGAGAACGAACTTTGAAGAAGTAATCCTCTCCATGATTTGTTGATCCAGGAGGAAATCTCAAGGCTAATCACAGCACCAGTGGTAAAAAAAATAATAGCTCCTTCATAGTCTAAGATTTCTCAAAAATCTCAGAGGGAGTTCTTTGAAAAATAAGGATAAACTGACCTAGAGGTCTTTCATATTTGTATCTCTAGATAATTCAAATCAAATACATTAATTGTTCTTATCTAGTTACCAGCTCTCTCTCTCTTTTTCCATCCTGGCATCTGTGACAAGTTTTTTCCTTCTGTATTACCACCCATAGAAACTTCCATTATATGGAAGTTTTGCCAAGTAGAATTTGGTATTTTTTCCACCAAAATTAGCTATTCTGTTGGTACAGCAAGACTTTAGATGCAGCTGAGGATACTAGTTACGTTTTCCAGCCTCTGCTGTACTTCATGCAGTGAGAGCTACATCATTAACAACATCTAAGTAAGCTAATTAATACTAGGTAATGGTAATTAATATGTCTGTAATTTCATGTTTGCTGTCAGCCATACCACAAATGACCAATTAGAGTGAGCAGACATGATGGAATTCACTTTGCTTCGTAAAATCAAAGCATTTAATACACAGCAACACGGGCTTGTTGCCATCTATGAATACTGCTGGGTCCACCCAGCCCAGTACATTACTGCAAGGTTGATGATTTTCAAATCTGCCAGTCCTACTGCTCATATGTGGAACATGGAGGTGCCCCAAAAGCAACCATTCTTATGTAACTGTACATCTCATGGAGTACACATGGTAGAATTGATCTGTACGTGGTTTGTAAGAACTTATCAAGAATTTCAAGAAAAGTACTAGTCCTGGCTGTTGGATATTAAGAAAACTGATAGATCATCACTCAAAATAGCAGAGTGATAAATTACTGCTAAAAAAATTGTTTTACCCATAAATCCTCACACTCGTCATGTTTGATTTCTTTTGTGGTATCACAGTCTCAGATGAAGTTTATTTAGCTTATAATGAGTATGACAGGGAAGGTTTGTTTGTGACACATTTTCTTTTCTTCTTCCTCTCATATGATGTACCAGGAAGAAAAAAAACCATCCCAAACAAACCCCAAAACAAAAAAACTCCACCTCACTAAAAAGAAAAGCACAGAATTGCACATCAGCTCATTTTGCAGATCAGCTCTGGCCTTTAATGCATGGCTATTCTAAAGAGTACTGGGAAAAAAAGACTTACAGAAAAAAATCTTTTTTTTTTCAATGAATAAAGCTAAAAGGCAGTTAGAACTTGTAGCCCTATTGCATGGCTTAAATTTTCTTTTAGATGGAAAAGTCAGGATAACACCTTAGAAGACAACATTACAATGTATATAGACAAATGTTTTGAAGCTTGAAAATGACTTGCTATATATCAGCCTTTTTGCAGGATTCATGTGTGGTAGAAAAATATTTATAACCAAACTATGGATTTATATTTCAAATGACATTTTGTATCTGTTTCTACCATGATCATAATAGTGTTTACAGACCGTTGTCTAATGCTTTGAAATAGACAGATAAAATAATATGAGTTCACACGATTACGGCTGCTTTAGAGCTAAAGGCAATATCCAGACTGCTTGTCTGATCTTTTTGTATCTTTCTTTTGCTACATACCAATTTTGAAAAAAAACTGGAAAAAATTGTCTCTGCTTATTGTCTTTACATTCAATTGAGAAGATGAAATTACAAGGAAAATAAAAAAAATTCAGTAGACGTTTTCTTATCACATTTTCTTATTAACAACAGATTTAAAAATAAAATCTTTTTTTGGTTCAAATGTCCTTTATTTTCTTTCCTAAGTGCAACTACAATGGATCTAGTATTATTTAACAATTTATGAATAGCAATTATTTGTTATATTTGTGATGGTTTGAGTATGTAGAGGAGATTTTTAGCTAGATATGTTTTTTATTAGACCAAAAGATATTTTCTTTAAAAAAAAAAAAAAAGAAAAAAAGAAAAAAAGATTTTGGGCCTCTATCTTTTTATCTCACCTGAAATAGGAGCAAAAAACTTCAGGCTTAAGGTAAGTTAAGAATAATTGCTAAGAGCAGAATTTCATTATGCTAATCAACTAGAAAAGCTGCAAGATGTGCAATGCTGGATGATTCTCTGAGGAACGAAGATGATTGTGAGCAAGAGAACCATAAGGGTTTTTAAGAGTACAGACGCAATGTAGAACTGGTATACATGTAATTTGGATTATCAGTTGTTTGTAGCTTTTCTGTTTGTGTCTTTGTTTTGTGCAGAATTTATGATTTTAAGACAGAGTGGTCGGAGCATGTGGGAAGCTGTCTAGTTCTCAAGCTGGGAGGCAGCAGAAGGTAAGTATTGTATATTGTGCAAGGCAGTGATGGAAAGCAAAGACCAGGTACAGCCTAGTACCCAAATTCAAAAATATGAAAATCTCCTCTGCCGGAGTCTGCAGCTCGAAGTCTGACCTCTGAATAGCTGTGCTCAGTGAGGTCACAAAGGCTCAAAGGACTGGTAAACTTTGACAACTCACCTTGTGCTCTGTAAATCTGATGAACATTTCTGTATTAATCTATGAACTCTTTTTCCCAGTAACTCATATGCATGGAAATTGTGTGTGTAACTTTGAAGGATGATGTTACAGTAAAACAAGTTACTATGCAACAAAAAGCAAGTTGCCAGCCAACAATTTGGACTTCTTAGGTGAGTTCAATTCAGAGATATTTAATTAAATACTCAGAGCCCTAGCCTGGAGAGTTCAGAAACTTGCCTTATTTGCAGGGAAAGATTGAAGTTTATAATAAATGCAGACTTATTACTGTACAGTTTCTACTTCCCTCAAAGACTCGAGCAATGGTTCTGCTGATACTGCACACTTTCCCTAAAGAGATTATTATGGTAATCCCAAATATTATACTACCCAAGCTATCTTCAATTTGAGCTCATCAGATCCAACGTTCTGCAAATAATCTCTAGCAGCTTTAGACAGTGTTTATATAAGCTGGTCAGGATGGTTATTTGAGCAGTGATGACCATGTTTTTCTATGCAATTCTCTACAAAGCAAACGTGCACTTGTTCAAAAAGTAGCAGCTTATACAGAGAATACTTTGAATACACAAAGTGCTTTCCAGAAGCACATGTAACACTCACTACTTATTTGTCATAATTAGTGGGTGTTTCCCTTACATGCTTTACGATGCAGGTTAGCAGAAAAAATTATTTTTCTCCCTTACTTGTCTTTACCTTTTTTCAGACATCAGTCCACTTTTTTTTTTTTTTTTTTTTTCTTTTCACTTGAATAAATGGATCAATGGACTTTGCAAGTGAAAGCCCAGGTGGCATAAGAAATATTGATGGTCTATTTCATCCATTGAAAGTGGGTTGAAATTTTAATGTAGTGCTCAACACCTCATTTGTTACACGTGTTACATATACAAAGATCAGCGCTATGCAGGTACAAAGCCCTGTAGCACAGAAGTGCTGCAGAGAATGGGCTCAGAACGGTTTGTATTTTAAGGATGTGAGATCACACAACCTTATCTTCTCACATGATCACATGGTGATCAACAGAAAGGAGGACCACTGTACAGTGCAAGCCACAGAAACAACTGGCACTCAGCATTTTCAGTATTCATGACTCAAGTGCCACGAACCACTAACTGAAGCCGGCCTCAGTATAACAGGAGGCTTCAAGTATAATCCTATTTAACTCCTCCTCTACTACTGCTTATCTTCTGAACTGCTTCCCAAGCACTTTTGCTGATAAGGGGACGAAAACGTGCAGCAACACCATGGACGGAGATCTAAAAGAAACAGCAACATCCTGTGGGATGGGCGATAGAAGTGCAATATTATAGTGTAGTGCATATGATTAAGGATTTAAGAAGGTTGTTCCCTCTGTGGACGCACACAAATCAGAGCTGCTGGACCTACAAAGAGTGTAGTTTCAGAGAAATTGCCAGCTGGGTCAGAACTGTCTTCTATCATCCCACTTCTTGAATATTCTAATATTTTACCTCATGCAAAATTTTCTTACAAATTCTGGAATGCTCAAAGAATTTAGAGAATTTTTCCTTTGTAAGCATGTACGATAATAGAATAGAATCAAACAGTAACTACGTCATTATTTCTGGAAATTTTTAAGTTCAACACTACCAGAAATATATTAAAAATATGATAGAAAAATCTCTATGCGATACTTAGAACGTAGAAAAGTATTTTACCTCTCACAGCAGCTCATCATTTAAATAACTGAGTATTCCTTCATTTTTTGAACATTCAGTAGTATTGGATGTTCAAACATATGCTGACTTTCATTGAAGTCTCAGGTATGGTCTACTTTTTCTAAACAAAATAATGGAAAAGATAAGAAGGGAGGCTGAGATTTAAAACATTTCAAACCTAAAATGCACCCAGGTAACTACTGCCATGTTAACAGGAAAAAAAAGCCATGTTTAAAATGTCAACCTTAGTAGGGACAAAAAAGCACCTGAAAGCCCAGAAATCACCACATGCTGTAGCGTACATAGAAAGTTCCATAATGTTTACATTTGGAATGGACCTTTAAAAAATAAATATGTGTACTTATATATAAACCTTTAATAATACCTCCAAGGACACTGTACCCAAGCGTGGCATTTTACTTTACAACATAAAAAACTTAAAATGACTTAAAAGCATTCATAAAGTATGCTCAGTAGTTACTAATATATCTGAAAAAATTTAATTTCAACATTTTTTCCTCCTTCTATGTGTAATTAAGCTAGTGAGAAGACATAGAAAAAATATTCACATCCGACAATGATACAGAATGAGAATATACATCATATTGTAAGTATTCTGCTGTGGAAACCAAACATAAAGTAAAAATATTACTTATGCTTTATCAATTAGGCTGATACCTTATTTGATTAACATAGCTGATGGCCTATACCACATTACTGTAACTAGCTAAACACCCCTGTATATTTCTTTGGGTATGCATGATGGCAAAATCATTTAAATATTTAACTGAAACTATCATTTCCCCACTGTTCCCCAAATATACAATCTCCAATATGAATTATTATAGTTGTTTCACTTATTGTAGGAAGTAAATGTCACAATAATTACATTCCTTTAAATTTAGTTCTTGGTGTTTTCTTTTATCAAATCCTGAAAATTAAGCACAGCACATAAGGTAGTCCAGCAATAAGCAGAGAAGAAGTATATAATTAATATGACACAGTATGGACCACAAACCAAGGTGTGAGAATAGCAAATCAGAATGAAGGGAAGCACAAGGGGTTATTTTACACCTTGACAAGTGAGATTTTTGTCAACAACTATGCCTTTTTTTTCTCCCTCTGAGCTTTAGAAGTCCTATTTCTGTAGAAGTTTTTTATCCTTAGAATCTCTGAAAATCTATTAATCAATTGCAATTAAAAATACTTAGTTGTTACTTTCTGAATGACTTATGCAACGTATCTTGAGGAAAATTAAGTCTGATTTGACTATTACAGTCATATACTTTGGTGAACTACAAAATATGGTGCAATTTAAGAAACTAAAACTAAAAAAATTTTAGTAAGCTAAATATATTGCAAATTTTCAGTCCTGAAAAACTACTAATTAATTCAGCTTTTTATGTGAAGTGTGTCAGAGCTTAAATCTTCTTGCCAAAATAGCTAACTGTAATGCTTGACGAAAAGTTGAGAGGGAAGAATACATAAGCATAGTTTATGTCTTCTGTTAATGAGCATGATTTGCTAGCAAAAGTTGTCTTGAAAATGTGAGAGTTGCTTTTACTTTCTCTCTGCATTTTTTTTTTTTCTCTTTTAAGACAGAGGATCATCAGGCTGAAGGGGCTAAAGAGGAAGAATGGATGGCAAAATGTGATTCTACTGCTAAAAATTCTGGTTCTGAGTAGCACTAAGTAAATCTGGGGTAATTCAAGCCACTTGAGTGGAATTGAGAAGTGCAGCAAAAAGATCTAACTTACACTGCCTGGGACTTTATGTAACAGTCATCACAGTCAAAGGAATAATTCCCCATCCACTTTTCTGGATCTTTCTTTATAATACCTTCCCCCATCCTTTAGGCACAATATAACTTCTACAAGGTAGAATGATAAGACATATAGACAACAACAATCAAACAATAAAAGTGATTTCAGCCTGAAATGACTCAGAAGTGTTCTCTCCTTAGAATTTCTTGAATTTTATCATATTTTTTATAACCACTATGGATTTTCACTTTTACACATTTTTATTTAAAATCTTTGCTCTATCTTTTGAAAAGCAATGAAATCAGCTGGAGATATTCCTGGATTTGCATCTGTTGCAGTCTGAAAAATGTTATACTTCCCAACTGTCTACTTACCAGTTTAATCTGCCATTTTTTAACACAGTAGGAAGAATTAATCTTCCTACTAAAAGAGGAGTTTTCTCAAGGATAGATTTGGTATGGTGTGATTAATATTTCCCTATTTATTCTTCATGGGAATACCTCAGATTGTTAAAAAAGTAAGAAGGAAAATATTTGAACTCACCAGTTGCCTCAGTTTTTGCTCTGTGTTGAATATCACACATTTTGTAGTAAATAAATAAGATACCCAGGTGCAGAAGAGTATTCTCTATGTGGTCACACCTGTGCTGCTGCAAAAGTGGAGTCTTAACAGACTGCATTAACAAGATTAAGTGGAAGAAGTGCTAAAGGCATAGGCTGTTCCATTTCATTAAAGAAGGGAGGAAGACTGCTTGAGGAACTGTGTAATGAAATATTTTCTTCTGCTACTGTCTTCACATAGAATACATTTGTTATTCCAGCCCAGTCATTTTAAAATAATACTTCTTTTCTGGAAATTCAGAACATAAATCTCAGTTTTCCTTTGCTATTAGTTGCTTTCATTTCAATTGCATATTAAAAATGCAAAATTAGAATAGCAGAGATAAGATGTCAAATTATTACTGATTAAAAAAAACACCTTGTGACATAATACATGTATCATACCTAAGTGTATCCATACATAAAAAAATTAATTTGCTCACAGTGTTTTTAGACACTGTGTGACAGACCTAACTGAACTTCACCTCTTGAACAACCATTGCATTAAAGTAATATCAAATGAATTCTAGTTGACCTTGGTTTGTGCAGCTATTTAGGGAATGTAGGAGTAAGACAGGGGTCCTAGGGGCATGAAAATTTTGTTTTTATTATGAAACCTCTAAAACAGTTGGTCAGAGCCTGGAACAGTGCTCTTTTCCCATGTTGACCCTTGCCTAGGATTACATCCTTATATATATATGTGTGTGTGTGTGTGTGTATGTATATTATTATGCAGCGGCTGATGTAGACAAACACAAATCACCACAAGTTTTACACAGGTTTTCTGTCAAAAAGAAAGCAAAAGAAAGCAAGACATAAAATGAGAATGCTTTTACAAGATAGCTAACACAGTAGTCTTTGTGGGATCTCTGTACTCAGAAAGAATTTCCCTTACCTGCCTGTTATACATTCCCAGGCATTTTTGTTAGGAGGACTCTGCTGGTTTATTTCATTTCAAGGTGACCTTTCCTTGCTACACCATTTTCTCATGTCCTAACCTTTTGCATAAAGTACTTGTTGGAATAAGAGATGATTCAGATTTTAGCAGTTCTGTTCTGCTAGCTCTGCATATTCATTCCCTTGGAATTTGTGCCAAAGATAAAACAGAGAGGACTTCATTTTCAAGACACAGTAAGGCTGACACATAGAGAACATTGTTAATCCTACCTACTATTGAAATAAGACGTTCAAAATTGCTACAATCTCAAACTTTGCTTGCAGTGCTTGTTCTGATCAGACATAGAAGTTGAGGAATTTTCAAGAAAAGATTCTGATGCAAGGGGAAAAACTTGGAGAGGGTTCCAAAGTTTATGAAAATAAGGATGATTACTAAAGATTAGGAGAAGTACAGAAAACAAACAAACACATGAGCTGGGAATAGGCAGCCTGAAAAAACATTTTTCCAATAATGAGGAAAAAAATCTTTGAAGGATAATAAGAAACAGGATGAGTTAATTACTTATAATAACTCATTTGAATCTATATAAACATTACACAGCTATTTTTTTTCATGACTGTTCCTAGCACCAGTCACGTAGGATACACGTGATGCTGTGGGATTATAATCTTAAACAAGGTACCAAACTTTTGTCTTGCTGTGTTTCAGATGAATAAAAATTCCCTGGCTTGCTAAAAAAAAATAGGAATTGCCTTCTCTCTATTATTTCATAAGTGGAAGTCTTTGATGTTATGGGGCATAATATTTCTCGACTGGATAAATAATTGGTGTATAATTTTCCTCCTGTTGCAACAGCATCTCATTCTGCTGAAGTAGTGATTGCCTAACAAGATTTCTATGTCTCACTGTTCCATAATATATTACAGTTCCCTATTAGACACACCACTTACAGATAAAAAACATGGATCAAAGAAATGGCCAAAAGAAATGAACAACATTTAAGGTTTTGGGGAGGTTTTATTCTTTTTTCTTTCTAACCCCTTCTCTAATTTGTGTAACTGAAAATTAGTTCTGCCTGAGTCAGAAAAAAATCAATAGAGTGCTGCCAAATATTACAAACCTTTCTGATGCAGGAATTAACATCAAATCGGTGCTGAGAAACAACTCCAGACACATTGCTTTTCAAGCTGAGAATTATCACTTGAGTACCAGCCTAAAAGTAAATTGCAGTCTTGTATGTCTTTCAGGGGTTGCTCTGCCTCCATCAGCATTTAGGAAGGCAGAATTTGGACTCAGAAGTCAATGGTTCCAGAAGAAAATGGTAATATTTAAACTCTTACAAAAAGTACAATGACAGAACATACTTTGAAATCTGACTTTGCACTGGTAGGAATATATCCCACTGACTCTCAGCTGAAAAAGTGATACTGAAATACAACTACAAGAGCTGAACAAATATAAAATGATAACTCCATTCATTTATAGGATAGAGTCCTGCAAGCTGCTCTGATTTCCATGCATTTCTAGCTGCATTTTGACCAGAAAGTTTTCTTATGAGTTTGGCTTGAACTTAGAGAGAATCTGAACAAAGGGCTGACAAATACTTACTTACGTTTTTTTTTGTTTTTTTTTTTTAACTGTTTATGAGAGATATTTTTAAGATTAAGAAAGGCAAGAATGTGAGACTAGTTAATGTTATGAAATACAATCTTATTCTGTGACATCCTAGCAGTTAATTCTTTCATTAGTCCAATTTGCTTAGCAGTTTCAAGCATCTTGTAACACACAATCACAGGATTAAGTGATTTAGAAATAAAATTAAAAACAGAAGTTGTTGCACAGACACTGACTATTGTACTAGATAAAAAACCAAAGAAACAAACACAATGCTACTGAAAAATGAAGGTATTCAAATAAAAAAAGGAAACATTGTATATTGCAGGTTTTTCTTAGGACTGTGAACACGTCAGGACACCATTTTCTAGAGCTATCCCAGTCATGCTGATAGTTCACAGAGTCCTCCTGCAGCTGTACATAAAATCTGTTGTAAGTAATAACCCTGGCCATCATTTTAATATGGGGATTATCAAGAAGGCATGGTGAGATTCACTTCTACCTGGCCACTTTGCTCTTGCTAAGAGTAGGCACAAGATGCCTCCACAGACAGAAATATTTTTCTCTTGCTCCAGATTTTTTTTTTAATTTTTTTTAAAATTATTATTATTATTATTATTATTATTATTTATAAATCACAGAAGCATCCAGGAGTCTAGGGAGCAAAGAGAGTGACAAACATGAGTGTGTTATGTACAAGCTTGGATGGGTTCAGAACCTCATTTGGTGTGAACTGGTACAGAGCTGGTGTGAAGTCAGTGAAGTCACTCAAATTATATTAACTGTAGGTCAGGTCTTCTTTCTCATTTATTCCTTCATTACACTGTAGTTAAAAAATAAAGGAAGACAATGTTATTAAAGAGACCACAGACTGCACTGTTCTCCTCTTGAAGGCTGCATATGATTCAGCCCCCAGGTCTCAACTTCCAAAGTTGGAAGAAACTGAGCAGCTGCTTCTAGTTTGTGGCCCTGCACAATTTCAAAGATGAAGCTTTTGCACTTTTGTTGTAGGAAGTAGGTATTGTCCTTGGGGAATGTGATCAGATGAGCATGCCACTTGCTCTTTTTCTTTGTATATTCTTCAGCCGTGCAAGCTCTGATCCACCTTGCAAATGTCCTTTCGGAAGTTGGCCTTCCTCCCTTGTGGATTCAGAACAGAAAGAATAACTTTACCGCATCCTGAAGTTTTGTGATCTGTAAATCTAAGTCTCCACAGCCCTGGGGACATTTCAACAAGGTGAATCAAGTTCTATTCCACTTGCAAGCTAAAGATACAAAAATGGTGATGCTACCTCCTGGTTTAAAGAAAAATCAATACAATTGTATACAGATTTTCCAGGGGCTTTAATCAGGTCTGCTGTATATATAGGGGAATCATAGCAAAAGAATAGTAGCAGGTTATTCTGTTGGTTCATTCCTTTTTGTTCTGTTTTGTTTTCTGAGACCTGGTGAAGAGTTCCCCCATTAGAATGGGTGAAGAGAATAAAAGAGAACATGCCAGAAAAGGTCAATTAATACACTGCGCAGTGCTTTTTTTGTTCAAGGACTTCTGAAATGATAAGAGAGGCTACACCTTTATGTGCAGAAAAGAAAGATCTTTGGAGAACCTTATAACATCAGGGTGACAGACTTCCTCTGTTGATATGACCTCTAACAGCTTTGAAACACACTGAATTAGTTTTAAGAACTGAGAACTACATGGTTATCCATACAAAATCTGAAGAAAATCATGGACATGTAGGAAATAGTATCTCTGAAGCAAGTGGAAATTGCTGACCTCAGACTTTCAGCTGGTCTATTATTAAATTGCAGTGTGAAAACTTGCAGTGTATGGGAGACTTGTTCTGAGTGAATTTTTGTCTCACCACTTCTCATTTCACTTTCCAAGAAGTGATATGCTCCTCTTGATAAAAAAGTCTGTTTCTTAAAATGAATACTACATCTCTTTGGAACACATAAAGAGAAATTAAGGGCTAAATCTAAGTAAGTCAGATATATTAGGCTTTTACAATTTGGATGTTCACAAAACTACCTGGTAAGACTATCAAATAACCACTATCAGAA